CCCCCCCCCCCTTTTTTTTTTCGAAAAAATGTAGCCAGGTACACAATAAAACTGAGAAATTCATTTTTAAAACTATTGGATTTTCCCAAACACTGCCAATTGTTGTAGGGCTTTTTAAACACATGTCCTGATGCACTGCTTTTTTAAGCACACCACAGCATATGTGCACAGCTGTGCATTTTCAAGAAGATAGAAACCAAGGCACAAGCTCACAAAAGACAATCTTCCACTTTTTTTTTTTTAATTGCTTTTGTATTTGCTTACATCTTTATTCTAGCAAGGCAGGGAAAACTAAGGTACCAGTAGGGGCTAACACTTACGCTCTGATTGTTTAACCTCTAAAACAAAGCTTGAAAGATGCTCTTGATTTGGCAGCTCACAGCTACAAAAGAGAACAGACAGAGCTAATCTGACCTAGTGACAAAACTAGAATTTGGGTCATCTGACCAAAAATGACACATTTAAAAGCCATAAACTCCTAACGTAATTTCCTACAACTCAATTGTGAAAAGAATTCAGACTGATTTTCTTTTTCCTCGAAAAGACACAGCAAATAAAATTATGCCTAGGTTATTGATCATAGCCTTTATAACTTGGTCATACGCAGCACAAAACAAGACCACCACTATCTATGCAGTTACTGTGTGGCAGACACTGGGAAATTAAAGTAACACCTTTTACAGCAGCACTTTGGGACTGCAAATCTTGGTAACAACTCTTGTCACTCTGCCGCTGGTATTTTGCATTTACTGATCAACAACTAACACAAAAAAGGCCACAAGAGTCTTTCATTTCAGAACTTTAACTCCTGCTTAGGCCGCTCCACCAGCAGGGGAGGACAAAATTACCCTAAAGTAAAATTTTCCTAAGGGTCACTCTTACCATTAGCAATGAAAACAAACACTGCGATAAACTGGGGGAGACCCTACCGCAGAGGAAAAAAAAACCAAACCCGCATATTGTCCGTTTTTAGCCTCCAGGGGCCATAATCCACAAAAAGAAGCAACAAGGCGGTGAGCCTTTTTTGGCTTTTCCCCCCCTTACTCCGTGAAACAACGTGGTAACCCGCGGGTCTCCCGCTGGGACGGTCCTGCCCGGCTCCCAGCGAGCAGCCACGCGCGCCCCCGGCGGCCCAGCCAGCGGCACAGGTAGGACCGCCCGCTGCCAGAGCCCCCCGGCTACCGCCGAGACGGCCCCAGGGAGGACAAGGACACACACGGAGGCGGGCAGAAGCGCTGAGGGGACGGGCCCGCCCGCGCCGCGGGCCCTCTGAGGCGGGGAACCGGTGGGACCCCGGGGCGCCCCG